TTTCGTATGTGGATGTCCTTTCAGAGAACCAAGAAGGGCTCGGACCTCTCAAGCTTATCGAGGATTGAGAATCGAGCTGCGAACTCGGTGTCGGAAGGAATCTGGAGGTTTCACAGTGGTCGACTTGGTCAAAGTGTGAACTTGTCTGCAAATCATACGGGATTTGATGGCCTGTTGTGAGATTGGAGACAGGTTCTGATGCCTGAAAAGAGCCTGCATAATGTGGTCTGGTAGAAAGATCGCTTAGGGGGTGTGTGTCGTGGCGGTGAAGGGACGAATTGGCAATTTGGGGTCTGCAAACAGGTGACAACGGGTGATTGGCACGCATGTCCCCAAACGCGGTACGTTTGTCTCCAAAACGTGTTGGCGCTGGCGAGAAGACTCGTGTTAGGGGCGAGGGCATAGGCGAAGCACGTTCACCTAAGACATGAACAGGTGACGAGGCGTCCCTCGTCAGGGAAGCTCGTAGTCCGAGACACTGGAAAATGTGCATCGCTTGTGCATAATCGCTTCTTACAGCAAACTCGGCTCTGATTTCGTGGACTTGTCCCTATATCTTGTCTTAGCTATCAGTGTTCAGTCTACGACGTGGCCTACACACTTGAGATGGCTCATATCGAAGGCGAAATGTCTTCTCCAGCTCCCGCTGACGAAGTTCGTACGGTATAGGGTGGCCACTTGTTTGCACAAGCTCTCCTAGATAAAGTCGTTCCTTTAACCGTCAGTCTACAACGCGAAAGCGAAGTCGGCCAGGTTGAATCACCAGTTGACGGGTACCTGACTGTATGAGTAAGATGACGTTGGGCGCCATATCCCGGAGACTATGCGATGGAGCAGCCCAGTCCACGAGTTGCTTCTCGTGTCTCAGTATCAAGGAAACATTGAACGTGTGTGTGCTGCGATGTTGCTCTTGCGATATCGACTGAACCGTGCCGACAGAAGCACGGCTGAGGGGAAACACGTGCAGCTGGGAATCGCCACCAGCTGATTGAGGAAACATATTGTATCGATGTATGATGAGAAAGTCATCGCAGGATTCCGATTTAGTGGTGAGTGTGTAGACTGGATTACATTGCTCTGGACGGCTTGGCCGTTGGCGATGAAGACGGTCCAGACGTTTGGGGCGGCAGGAATATAGGTTGCTGGTGATTCCTTCCCCAGGCAGCTAACCTAGGGCGCAGTACCTTAGTCTAAATGAATGCTTCGACGTAGAACTAGACCTTCCAACTCGGCAGGTATGGATCCTATCTCGGCACTAAGACACACCATCTGCACCTCGATTATCATAATGGGATTATCTATGTAGACATGCTCCGAACAGAGGAGGCCCCTATATATGGTACAGAGTGTTTCCGCTCACTACACAGTGCCCATGTGGTAACAAGACAGGCGAATCTCTACGACGGCAGGCACAATCGAGCTGGTAGTTGAAACGGCTAAACTTCGGTTATTGCACAGACGCCTCAGCACGTACCACGTATCCAGGTACCTCGAGGCACGGTCTTCGACTTCGTCAACTGGTGACATGGAACGCGACCAATTTTCGACACGGCGCGGCGACCGCGACTAACCAACCAGTGCTCCGTCGCATTGCAACTGCCATCTGCAGCCACCATCAAGCAGAGCACCAGCATTACGGTCCTGCAATCCTTTGCAGTACACCATCAGGGATCCAGCAAACGGACAGTCATAATTGAGTGACCGGTGTTTGTCAATTGCGTACACCTCGCTCCCTTTCTGTTCTCTCATAGTCCGGTGCTTGCCTGCCCGCGACAAAACGCAAGTCCCCCCCACCGCACCTGGTTGAATGCTCCAGTCGCTTTCGGGAAGTCATCAGCTGATTCTTTTACCCTTCGATAGATTCGTTCGTCTGTGTCCTCGAACGAGCCTGTTGACGTAGCGACATGGCGCCCGAAACAAAATATCCCCCTCACGAGATCGACCGCACTCCCGAGTACGAGGAGTTTATGACCAAACTGCGCGCCTATCATCAGCAACGAGGTACCACGCTTGACCCAGAACCCAAGTGCTCAACAGTAAATCTCGATCTTTACAAGCTTTTCAACCTGATTGTGGAGGAAGGCGGCTACGACGAAGTCAGTGACAGGAAACTTGCCTGGCGCGAGATGGTCGAGAAGCTCGGCATCCCTATGACCAGCATCGCATCCACCGCCTATCAACTCAAGGACCGCTACCTGAAAAACCTGGCCGCATACGAAATCAGCACTATCCACGGAAAAGAATCCCCCCCGAAAGACATCCTTGAGGACGGGACGGCCAAAGGTGGATCGCTTCTGACCGAACCCGAGAAAACTATGCAGCAGACTCGCTGTGCTCGCCGCTCGGGAGACGCGGCACACGTCGCGCGATCGCTTCTGGCCAAAGACACACTGTCGGCTCCAGCTTCCGCTCGCGCGATTGAGAGAAGCCCCCCGCAGAGAGTCATCTCCAGCCTGACACGGCCCGACTCGCACCGTAACGCCTCGGGAGCACAGACTGGACAGACCAGTCAAACGACGTCCCAGCATCACTCCAACTCCCAGAAGCTCGGGCCAAGCCAATACACCAGGGCACTTCCCATCGGCGCATCCCACTGCCGTGCCCATGTCAGGCCAGCAGCGCCTTCCTCGCGGGCCGAGTGGGGCCTTCAACCCCTCGAATTCGGAAGAATATAGCCTCTGCTGTTGATACGTACCAGCCCAAAGTCGCTCCAAAGCTTTTCCAGCCTCTAGTGCTCAGACCCGTCGATACGCCAGGCAACAATCCTGCAGAGTTCGCTAGGCGCCGACCGCTGGCGCGGCAGAGGCTGCAGCCCCCCGAGCTGCCCCATGGAACACCAGGACGTACGTGCTTTCTTCCAGCCGTGATGGTTGCTCCAGATTGATGCTGACTGTGTCTAGTGCGCAAGGACGGTGCCGGTATTTACCACCGATGCCTCATGGGTCTGCGATCAAAGATCTTGGCTGAGCAGGAATATGCCGTACATCACTTTGTCAAGATCTCATATGAAAGAGGTGATAAGTTCAAGTTTGAGCAGTTCGCAGGCCTAGCAGATGCGCTCGTCGAAAAGGCGCTTGATGTCGGCACCCTGTTTTATGATATCAAGTGGGAGATCTCGTGGGTTCCGGTCCCCAACAACGCTGGGCCCGGCGTCCTCGATGGAGAGAACGGGACGCCCGATATCCTCGACCGCATCAGCAAACTCACCCCCAAACCCGTCTCAGATCTCATCCAGCCTGCCAAATTTTCAGACGCCCTTCGGTGCATCTCCGAGGCCGTCCTCACGATTCGCAACATGGTCACGCTCCAGGACAATGCTCACTTTGTGTCCGACCTGCAGCCGCTGAAAGACCTGATCTGCATCATCTTGAGGCTTCCCACACATAACAGCATCGTTGAGCTGAAGCACATGGCGCTCGAGATCACAGAGTGCCTCACGCCTTACATGTCTCTCGGTTCAGATGATCCCCTCTACCAGGTGCTCCTAGAGCAACTCAAGTCAACAGACCGCGGCATGATTCTCGGCGGACTTCGCGCCCTCGGCCGCATCTCGATGAAGCTGGCCAACACCAACAAGCTCAGCAATGTGCCCGCCGAGACGCTAGAGAGCATTACGCGCTGGCTGCAGCTCAACGACGACGACTTGATGGACGCGTGCCTCGACTTCCTGTACCAGTACACCGCCGTCGCCGCCAACATCGATGACTTGCTACGGTTCGTCAGTGCCGAAAGCCTGGTCATTCACCTCGTCCGCCTTCTCTCGCATGGCGCGAAGAAGGTTACGCGCGAAGTTGTCATTGTGCCCGAACTCAAGACACCCCCCAACGACTACGCCGCACCGATGCCGACAGACCTTCTGCAGGAGCTTTTGGCCATTAGCGAGCCCGAGCGCTGCCAGGCGTGGGTCAAGTGCTTCTTCGAGGAGGATAAGGACTCGTTCGTTACGCAGATCATGGCCTGGCAGGCCTACCAAGCAGCATTTGTGTCGGCTCTCAAGTCGTCCGGACAGACGCTCATCACGCCCGCAGATTTTATCCGTAATGCCACCATCGTCTACAAGGAGTCGCGCGCCGAGGTGCTCCGCGTGTCCAACGCCGGCGAGACGCAGCAAAAGTTCATCATCCAGGGCCTGCGAGCCCGTGAGAACCCCGTCGGCCTCGACGGCAAGGAGTTCAAGCGCTGCATCTGGGACGCCGCCAAGCAGGGCGTCAAGTGCGGACAGCACTTTGCCAGCCCGCAGCAGATGAGCGTCCACATTCTAACACACCACCTTGGTATTGCCAAGAACGCCGCCGGCACCTTTGATAATGTCGAGCTGGAGTGCCGCTGCCAGTGGGGCGAATGCAGAAAGTTTCCCGAGCCCACCAACATGAAGCTCTTCCAGATCGCGCACCACATCTCCGTCCACGCAAGCATCGTCTTCCCGCGCAAGACGGCAGCTGATGGTGACGCTGCCCAGGCGCTGACACGCGACTGGCTCAAGCCCGCTGTGACGAAGTCGGTCGACTACGAGGAGACGGCCATGGTGCGCGATGAGCGTAACCCCAACGCGCCGCTCCAAGCCGCCGGCATCCCGCTGAGTGCGGCTCTCATCCTGAGGAACATTGCCCGGAACGTTCCCAAGACGCAGGCCGAGGCTGAGCTGCTGCGGCACTACGAGGGCGGTTGGAACGAGCGGCTCTTCCGCTGCGTGCGCCCGCGGCTGTTCGAGCTCATGGGGCTGAACAAGGGCCTGGTATGATTCCGCTTTCCCTCTTGCAGCATGCCATCTGTTTCGTACTAACACGTCTCTGCGCAGGCCGAGTACATTGCCTCTATCATTGAGCTCGTGGAGCCTGAGACTGACAACTAGAGAGATTTATCTCGACTTCGCCTTGACAGTCATGAGTGAGTGATCATGAGAATGGTCTCCTTTTTTCTTTTTATTCTGTTTTCGTGTACAGTATGTAGTCAGTGACCCTTTTGAGGTTGGGGCAATACCCAGGGCGTTCCGGATTCACGAATTTTGGACCTCTTTCGGGACAATGGGAAGTGGGAAGGCGGGGAGAAAGGGCGCTGGGTGGGCATGGCGATAGACAGAGGCCTTTGTCTCATGCTGCGGAGAAAGATTCCGGCTGTGAGACGAAAGTCTCGAGGGCCTGTCTGGGATAGATACAATGAAAAAGCGATAATTTGAGCCAATGAATAGCACACATGTCAGAGCGTGGGCGAATCCTGCCGCGTCGTAAGCCAGAAGAAGCAGTACTTTTCAGGCATGTTGCTTTCGCACATGAAAGCCAAATCCTGGAAGATGTGACGTCTGAAAAAGAATATGAGGAGAAGCAGAAACAGAAGGAATCGAGGCACAAGAAAGCATCGCAAGACTTGAACTAGTCTCACTCTGTCCGGGATAGGGAAGGAAAGGGAAAGGGGGGGGGGGGCAGAGATCCGAATGACAGAACACATCCTTTACGACGAGACCACACACCCCCATGACCCCTGTCATCATCCCGTCCCGCGAATGCGGTTCCCGCCCCCACGCAAAGGCACTGCACGAGCTACGAGCTGCACACCCAACATCGCAAAGTCCAGGAGAAGAGTAGGCAAAGAAAAAGATGCCTAGGTGTGGGTCGCCGGGGAACATGTACCGCGACCGGGGCTCGGGCTCAAGGGGTTCAGGCCTTTAATGAGGTCTCCACGAACTGACATTGCGAAGTCTTGTGGGGAAGGCCATGGGGGACGGGGGTGTTGAGCCTCTTAAAATTGCAGCGAACCAGGAGCTTGGGGACCATGAAATGTAGTATCCATGGTGTCTGGATTTTCCGACGAAGCTCGGAGAGCGAGACCTTTCGTCACACTGGGCAGGTTACGGGAGACGCAAACGGGCGAGTAAAAGGGGTCTTCCGGAGAGAAAGTTCTGCAGTACGTACCTCACCTTAGGCATGCTCACAAAGTGAGGCGAGAATAAACGGTGCTGGCCGTTGGAGCACGCGTGGAAGACGTACCATGTCGAGAGCGGTCAAGGGCTTGCAACGGTGAGCACTTGCTGCGAGCCAGGGCGCTTGAAAGCGTGGCATCCCGCGTTCGCTTGACCGACATGACATGGCATGGGGGCGACATGCATGCACCCGCCTAGACTGCATGCGGCCGTCGCCAGCTAAGGCCCAGGCTCAGGACCACGGCAACGCCAGCCTAGAATCAGCAGGTCCATGGACGGGGAGACTGATGTTAGTTTCCCCACCCCACAAAAAAAAAAAGTGCAG